AATGCAGAATTAAGATTACATGCAACAGAAATCCAAATGTGTCAGGAAATGCACATTAAAGTACTCACACAATCTTAACTCTGTCCTATAGTGATATCATGATGGGAACCAAATGGAAACAGCTAATGTGCTTTTAAAAGTCAGTTCAACCTAATCTGGGACCCCAGACACAAAATGCCACAATCATAATCATATGGCTATTGCATGGTATCAATATAAGACAGAGTTAAATTGTGTAACACTTGGTTTTAGGCTAACTGCAATCTCTTTGTAATGTTTTTACTCTTAAATTACTAATACATATTCTCAGTCTTAACTCTATTTTAATGTAGGCTTTTTTGTATGGGACTAAATTACTCTCACCAGGGATGCAATCTGAGTAAGGCTAGCCAACCATTCCACCTTATTTAGAGAACACTTCTTTTCCAGTATTAAAGTTATAATTTTTGTCACCATTAATCATATATACATCCAGGTTACATTCTTAAAGCCCCAGTTTAGAATTCAAAATTATCTTGACAAACTGGAGAAATGGTCTGAAATACATAGGATGAAATTCAATAAGGACAAATGTGAGTCCTACACTTCCAAAGGAATAATCAATTGCATAAATACAATACAGCCTTTGGATTTTGGGAGCAGATCCTGGCCTAAGAATTTGGTCAGCAGTGTTTCTAGGAACATATGGTAAGGGACTTCACCTTGAACCAAGTCTAGTTTGTTAAGTTTTGATACTAAGATGTTTTTTATCTTTATTTCTCTTGTAACCATTTCTGACTTTAATGCCTTATACTTGTACTCCCTTAAAACCTCTCTCCTTGGAGGTAAATAAACTTGTTTTATTCTTTAATCAAAACTAATCCAGTGTTGTGAACTGTGTGGGTAACTCCATGTAGGGTGGCAAACTGTTGTATATTGACCCCTCTAGAGGGGCAACAGACCTAATATATGTTGACTGTCCAGGAGAGGACTGGACAGCGCAGAACACACATTTTGGGGAAAATCCAGGACTAGGAGTGTGTTGGGGTCATTCTGTAAGTGGAAACCAAGGCTGGTGGAAGCCAGAGTGTGACTGATATATGGCTTACAGGCTACAGCTATACAAAAACATTCAAGGCAGTAGTAGAATGCTGTTTGGTGGTTTGTGAGGGACCCACGTGGGAGTTACAGCAGCAGAGCATTGTGAGGCACCCAAATGTGCAGGACTGGGGTGACAGCCCCTCACTGGTCTGGGTTGTACCCCTGAATGTCAGAGGTATCTATGCCCTGTAACAAAGATTCGTACAAGAAAAATAGTTTACCCGAGGGATAGCATAGTGACACAGCTCTTAATCACTTTTCACAGGCTTATACAGAAAAAGACTGGGAGCAGTTAAGGTTTCAAATAACCGGTGCAGAACCAAATTGATTTTTCTCTGCACTTACAGCACATCTGCAGGGGAGATAAAGCAGAATCTAAGAGTGAGAAATTGCTTGATTTTGGTCCAGACATTCTGTAGTATAGCTGCTCAGTCACCGCCCCCAACACAGCTCACAATTCCCTTTCGATCCTGCAGCACTTCTGGTGGCACCATCCTGGTCAATAACTTCATAGCATACCTCACTGCCCTTTGCCTTTTTGAGAAAGGCCATTCTCTGCCACCTGGTCATGTGCTTCAACATCCTAGAGAGTCAGGGCAGTCCAAAGGGAATGGAGAGAGGTTTAGTATCCAGCTTGCCCGTAGAGACCTCCCACCCCCTGCTAAGCTCTCCAACTCCACACAAGTTCCTCCAAGGCACAGCCTAAATTGAAAAGCCAAGCCAGGAACATAATTCCCAATACTCCACTGCCTCCAAAGCACAACTGCACATTCAAACAGCTTATACTGCACGCCCTTGAAATCCCAGTCTAGACTAGGGTTGCCAACTTTGGTTAAATAAATTCCTGGAGATTTCATTACATGACAATCTTTAATTAAAGATCAATCTTTAATTTCTGGGGATCCAGAACAATCTTGGAGGGTTGGCAACCCTAATCTAGACCTCCACATGCACACACAACTTACCATCTCTGAGGTCTCCCCCAAGACTGGGAAGAATCTCAGGAAGGGGAAATCAGAAATACACGTTAAAAATGCTATCAGAGCCTCTTTGGAATAGAAGCAATAACTGTTTGGTTTTTTCCCCTACTTCTCCGGTCATGGCACCCATAGTGGCCAGACCATCAAGGACAGGGCCTTGTCAATAGCTGTGTGGTGGACTAACTTGAGGGGGAAGAAATAGAGAACTCAGGATGAAATGTTCTCAGACCTCATTGCAGACTCCTCAGAAACTATGGAAAACTACAGAGAGCTGGAGGTTGTTTTTGAAGTCGGAGATGGAAAAAGACAGGAAGCTACCCAGAGAAAACATTGAAGTGGCCAGGGACAGCGTCGCCATGGCAAAAAACACTAGAGACAGACCGGGAGATGATTCAGAGGCAACCCCTGCAGGCAATACAGAAGCAGAACGCTCTGCTGAAGTGCATATTGTTTGTGGGCACGCTGATAATCTAGTGCCCTCAGCCAGGACCTACCCATGTTCTGCAGCTCCTGGACAATACAGGGTACTGGGAACACCAGCATATGTTTCCCACTGTGCTCCCACAGCCATGTTCCCAGAGGCCAGGGCCCCAGCTCAGGGCAGCAAGAATAATTGCATATGGGACCCCGGCTCTTTTGAGTCATCTAATGCCCCTGATAATTTTGAGCCCTGACACTCAGCACCAAAAGACAGATGGACAAGAAGAGACAGAGGGCAAGACGTATAATCACCTGTGACCTGGAGTCCCCCCATTGTTGTGTGCTGCCCTCCACTGCACTGTTTCACTTTAAAACTGTGTTTCATTTTTGTTTTAATTAAAGGTTTATTGCTAGCTGTTATATAAGAAATTGTTGTAATGGGTTATTATTAAACAATTCATAAAAAAAATCTGCAATGTGGTACACATTCTGGTACACAGAAACTACTATGAATTTTACATGTCACAGGTTTTTACAAAAAAGAGACTGCAGTGTTCACAATCTATCCCCTGCCTCCACCACCTGGGATAGCAGCTGGATGTTCGGCTGAACATTTTCAGGCCTCAGACTCAAAATAAGAGCAATAGGCATTCCTGACAGTATTGGCCTGGCTGGCTCCATTTTCTAGTTGACACCTTACTGGCTGCTCAAACCAAGCAAGTCTCTGCATCTCAGCCTCCCACCCTTCGTTAAAGCTTTCTCCGTTACTCTCACAAATGTTGTGCAAAATAGAACATGCAGCTATAATCTTAGGTGAGCTCTTTTTATGTAGCTTCCAACCTAGTCCATAAACAGCCCCACGTGCCTTTCAGGTGACCAAATGCACATTTTACTGCCATTCTGCAACTACTCAGGTGATCCTTAAACTGTTCCTTCCCTCTGTCCAAATGCCCTGTGAATGGCTTCGTTAATCAGGGAATCAGAGGATAAACTGGGTCTCCTAGAATAACTGGCACAATCTCCACAACATTAATGTCCATAGTGATCCTGGAGACAGTCTCCTTTACTCATTAAAGTAAATACAGCTGAGTTCAGAAAGATCCCAGCTTTACATCCCAGTGCAATCCGGTGCAACACACATGCATGACAATGGCCCCAACTGTCAGTCTCTCTATGCCCGATTGGCTACAGACTAGTAATATTCGGGGTTGGCCAGCTTCCAGAGGGCAATGGTGACCTGCTTCTCAATGGGTACAGGCCACTGCATGTTGGTACTTTGTCACTGCAGCTCTGAGACTTGCATAGCACAGATCTAAAAAAAATTGCCTTCGCCATCCTCAAATTTAGTTATCCCAGGTCTGCAGGCTGATCCTTTCCCACCAGTTGACACTTGTTTCTGAACCCAGCAATGGCGCTGCACAGTGTGAAGCTGCTTCAGGAAGAGTTCATGTAGTAATAGTTACCTGGTGTCATCCTCATCTTCCTGTCTGCTGCTGAAGAAGCCGCTGCTGCAGCCACTTCATCCACTCGGTGGTGCAGCAGGCAAAGTCCAAAACCAAAGTCACTTGGCTCTGAGAGCTCACAAAGCACAAACAGCCTCTGTGTCTTCACAATTGCCAGCAATGTGGCGCAGAGCATTATTTACTCCTGGGGGAATTCTGTGCCAAAAAATTAAAAATTCTGTTCACAATATTTTCAAATTCTGCAAAATTCTGCATATTTTATTTGTCAAAATAACAATATAATCACACCAGTTTCAATTATTTTGATCATTTATTTCAAAATAAATGTCAGCAAGTATGTCTGTAGCAATATAGACAACAAAAAAGGTTCAGAAAATGTTTTTTGACAAATAGATTCCTTACTAGGCATATTAATACAGAGCTCTGAGTAATAATTAATTTAAACTACAATACAGAACCATATTTCCCACACTCCCCAGAAGCAGTGCAAAGGCTTGGGGGAGTCAGAGGTAACGGAGAAGCTGAGGGAGAGGGAAATAATTGCTGGGAAGGAGCCTGGGTGTGAACTTGGAGGGTTGTTGGGTATGGATGGGGAAAATATGGAACAGGTTTTTTGCAGGGGTGGGGAAGGACTGTTAGAGAGCTTCCCATATGCAGACCCTGGCTGACCCTAGCCTCTCCTAGTCAGTCAGACACATGTGCCCCTCCACTTCCACTCAGACACCCACTCTCCCCAACCCCATATGGCCCTGCACTCACTCTCCCTGTGCCCATGTGTCTCTGGGCCCCCACTCAGACACCCTCTGTAGCCCTGAACCCCTCCCCATGTGTCTCTGTTCCCCCACCCAGCCACTCCCCTCTCCCTCTGTGGCCCTGCACCCCTCCCCCGTAACCATGTGGCTCTGTGCCTCCCTCCCCCCCCGTGGCCCTCCACCTCCACTCCCATTCAGCCCTGCCCCATTCTGTCCTCCCCCACTAGCCCTAATGATCCCCCGTTTGATCCCCCAGCAGCCCAATGCTGTCAGTCTCCCCATAGTCCCTCTCTCCTGACCTGGCATGACAGGCACTGCGAAGAAGGCTCTCTCTCTTCCCTAGCTGGCTGGGAGCAGCTGCTGTGTTCTATCACCAAAGCACCCTCTGGTTCTGCAGCAACTTTTCAGCAGAAGCTTTTTTCTGTGCAAAAAATTAAAAATATGCACGGCTCATTAATTATGCACATGTGCAATGGCGCAGAATTCCCCTAGGAGTTGTAGAGGTGCGGACTCACCCCTGTGGCGCCTCCTGCTGGTGACTTCTGGGAATTAGCTCTTCCAGCATCCTGGAGCGCCCTCTGCAGGCCGGTGGTCCACCTGTCCTCTGGCCCCCTTGTCCCACCCTGTACCCCAGTGCCCTTTTACCTGGGGTGCTGCCCCCTGGCAGTAACCCCTCAGTCTTAGGGTCTCCCCTCCCCAGGGAACCCCCACCCACTATTCCCACCTCGCCTCAGTATAAGGCTACTGCCAGTCATTGTCTAGCCCCATGCACTAGGGCAGACTGCAGTATCAGCCACTCATCATAGGCAAGGTTGGGTTTGGACTGGCTGCCTTTACTCACCCTCAGACTACCCCTCTGCAAGCCCAATACCTAGGTGGGCCTAGAACTAGGCCCTGCAGCCTGGGGAGTTGCTGGCCTAGGGCTTCCCAGCTCCTAAGGCCTTTCCCCAGCCCTGCCTCATTCTAGGTCCCCTGGGTGAGTTCCCAAGCAGCCAGGCCTGTCTCCCTCTCCAGTCAGAGAGAGGCTCCTGACTCCTAGCCTTTTATATAGGGCCAGCTAAGGCCTGATTGGGGCGTGGCCCAGCTGCAGCCACTTCCCCCAATCAGCCAGGGTTTTGCTCCCTTTCACATCCCCAGCCCTCTGCAGGGCTTTTCCAACCCCTTCAGGGCTGGAGTGGGTGTTCACCCCGCTACAGAGTAATTATTGGGTACATGCTGGCTGTCAGCAGTTTGAAAATGGCGCTAGCCTGCCCTGAAAGAGAGGAATCATGGGACAGAGAGAGTGGAATCATGGGAGTTTTTGAATTTGACCCCACTCCCAGAATTCCACTGGCTTCCACCTGCCTTCTGCTAGGCATCCCACATAGGGTGACCAGACAGCAAATGTGAAAAATTGGGATGGGGTGGGGGGTAATAGGAGCCTATATAAGAAAAAGTCCCAAAAATTGGGACTGTCTCTATAAAATCAGAACATCTGGTCACTCTAATTCCACAATATTCAGTGAGAAAAATCCCAGAATGCACATATCTCAGCAGCAAAGCAAAGGACCATGGGATATGCTCGC